CTGGCTAGGAAGGACTGGGGCTCTGACGAGCAGCAGTGCCAGGATTAGCAGAAAAGCTGAAGAGGTAAAAGAGATTATTTGTTAGAGATGATTTTTCTTTTCATTCTAGTGGCATCCACAGCTTTCATCAGGAGATGTTGGAGTCCCAGCCCAGCTGACCAGGCAGACTCCTTGGGAATGCTCCAGCCAGGAGTGCTGCTGTCTGCAGAACGTGAGGGGCTTGCCCAAGATTTGAGACAGGGAGAAAAGCAGCAGCAGCAGGAGTTGTGACCAGTTCCTTCTTTTCTTTGGCTCCTGCTGGGCCTAGTTAAGTTATTAGTACTTTCTTCAGAGGAAAGAGACTCCTGCAAGGTTCCCTCTGTGCCCTGCTTTCAGTCCACAGCCCTGGCCTGGGATTAGTGGTTTGCTTTCACACTGCTTGCACACTGGAGTTGTTACAGCTGTGAGCGATTGCTGCTGGCCCTGGCAGCCAGGGCAGAGCTGTTCTTCCCGGCTGAAACGAACAGAGATCCTTTAAAAAACTTGGGAGAGATCTCTGAGGTCAGCTCTGAGTAGTTGTTTGTCCTGACTGTGAAAATAACTCGATTGTAAAAAAACATTTATGACACTTTCAACTCTATCAGGCAGTACGTGTTGTCAAGATTATTTGGAAAGATAGAGGATAGACCGGGGATAGAAATATGCTTATTTTTCAAACAAGCTGAGATTAGAGCAAGCATTTACAGTTCTGCAAATCAAAGGAGCCCGGGACTTGCGTCTTTGGAGACCCTGGAGGGCAGCTCTGTCAGCCAGAAAGGAGATTTGCTAGATCAGACAGCACAGCCCTGCTCGAATCCTCATCCCGCGGTGACAGGACCCTGCTGTGCTGAGCTGTGTGCCATGGACTGCTGCTCCTGGGAGAGGCACAGCCATCCTGCCCTGTCCCTGTGCTGGACACAGCTCTGCCTGCCCTGCAGCCTGCTTTCCTTGGCTTTGTTGTGAAATGGCAGCTCTGTATCCTGCAGTGCCCCTCATCCCTTCCTTTCTACCTTTGGAGGGTGGACTCACAGTGATTCACAGCCTTGACCAGACCCCTTTCTCAGGGGAGGGAGGAAGAGGAGAAAAAAACCAACCAGCAACAACCACTGTTGATGCTGGCTTTGATAGCGTAAATACCACTGTGCTGCAAAATGAAAAACTAAACATGCAGCCTAGATAGCTGACTTTGAAATGTGTGCTGGTGGTAATTGAGTTTATGGGGTTTTTTTCTATTTCCTTTTTTTTTTTTTTTTTTTCCCTTTTGAATGTGATTCAAGAACCTTTTTGACCAAATTTGGAGAGAATTGGGTTAAGGCTTTTGAAGAATGCCTTTCTGCTCCAGCTCTCAGTGAAATCCATCCAAATATACGAAACGGAAAGGTTGTTGATATAGTTTCTTTGGAAGCTGGGTTGTATTTTCTCCCCAGTTCAGGCTGTTTCCTTGAAACTTGATTTCTGCTTGTTGCTCTTCTCACTGAACCTGAATCCAAAATAACAAATATTATTAAAAAAAAAAAAATTAAAAAGAAGGAGAATTTCAGAGTCTGTTTTCAGTTCCCTTCTGTGGCTCCCAAAAAAGCACTGTGCCAAGATTTCCAGTGAGCACTGTGTGCCTGGACAGCTGCAGAGCAAGCTGGGGCAGCAGAGTAGTGTTACAGGGCTGTCCAGGAGCCTTCTGTGGGCTCAGGAACTGAGGAAATTGATCCCAGCTTGGCTGTGCCAAGCTCCATGTCCCTCAACAGGCTGCAGGATTTCCTTCCAAAGTTAATATCGAGTTTAAACCACTATTCCTCAGCTTCTACCTTATTTTTCTGCCGCTCTGGCTTAGAAGTTTGTCACTTCATGTCTTTTGTGGCAGCACCATCCCACTCTCTTATACCTCTTTCTGCCTTTTATGGAAAAATCCTTCACTGCTATAAACTGGGCCTTTTCTCTTTCCTCTTGCTATTCTTGTAAGCCTCTTCTGAGACGTTTCAAGCACCAGTGCTAAAAAGTTCAATAAACCAGAACAATAGTGGCCTTCCTTCTGTGCTTCCCCCTTGCCAGTGGTGCTCAGGGTTGCCAAGATGAGTCTTTAAAGCCAGGCCTGAATCTTACCAATCTCTCCATCTGACATTTTGTTCCAGACAGTGTGTTGTGGTTTGGGACTATATATTGTGTGTCTCCTTGACTTCATGGCTAATTGCATGTCATAAACATTATTAGTAGAATAGTTTTGACAGTATTCCATGAGAACACTGCTAGGGCTTCCCATAACATAAGAAATGATTTACTAGAGATAACTGATCTGGATACTCTTTTTAAGAGTGGCCTAATTTTCATTCTGTGCTTCTTCACCTATTTTTTTTTTTAATTACTTCAATTGTTTCAGAGATTGGCAGTGTTTAGACTCAGTAAAATTTCTTAATACTAAAGGATTCCTTACGTCTTTATGGTTCTGCTTCTGCTTTCTCTTTAGTGTGGTATCTTCTGCCTGATCTGCATTTCTTTTTCAAGGGTTCTTTGTTTGGATTTTTTTCCCCCAGTTCAGACTTACCTTAAATTTGGCTTTTTAAACTTACATGAGCGTTTTTGGAGGGTTGGATTTTGTTCATTTGATCTGTTGTAGACGTTTGATCCCCACGCAGAGCAGTAGAGGAGTTTTTCACATTTTCCATTAACAAGTCTGTTCCTGGGGAACAGCCACCTCTTCATGATGACAAGTCCCTGTCTAACAAAACCACTGTCCTGTTAGAGCACCTCTTTTAAGCATCCTTGGCTGCTGTGGGAGTCTCCAGGTTGGGATTTGCAGGTGAAAGGTGGATTAAGTTGCCTGCAATGTAGCCTAGAATGGATTAGAGCAATAAAATATAGACTTCTGTCCTGCCAACAGCTCAAATTCTAAATCAATTTATTTTCCATCCACTCATGCTGAAGAGAAGTTGTGAACAGCAAAGCAAAGGAGTTTTAAGAGCTGTTAGTAAAAGGCTAAAGAGCCTTTGTCTGAGCACAAAAAAACCCCTAATAAACTCACTGCAGGGAGCAGAAATGACTTTGTGCTTGTGTCACAGCACAAAATATTGCCAGCATCCCTCTTTCAACCCCAGATAAAATCTGGTACACTGAGAAAGAAACTGAATTTCTTTCAGTGGCACACAGATTCATTTTTAGGCGGACAAATGGTGCTGGATTTTCCAAAGTTTTGTATTAATGTCCAGATACAGACAGTTGTATCTAATCATCCAGGTTTAAAGCTTCTAATTTTAGTTGCTGATCCATATGGGACTTTTTTTGTCTGTAAAATCACAGTTATGTGTTCTATCTCCAAAAATTTCTCCTGTGTAACTTCAGAGTGTAACCTGGGTGAGATAAAATCTGTGTCTTGGTGTCTGTGGTGCCTAACAGGATGGAGCCCTAACCTCTGCTGGCATCTCTAAACAGCTGATATTTTATATATGACAGAAAATATGTGTTTGGGTTTTTTTTGCTAAACCTTGGCGCTGCCAGAATGCAACATCAGAAAAGTTAGTTATCGCTACAGTTTATTTGCAGTGATTGTTGTGATGCCATGAAATGATCTATCTCTAAAGTCACTATCACAAGAGGGTTTCCTTGGGCTGGATAACACTGAATTTATTTTAAGTTGTGCTCAGCCTTATCTGGTTGTGCCAAAAAGCTTTAAAACTTAATATCCTTCCATGCATAAGAAGCAAAAAGCTGTTCTTGTGCTCCATTTGTTGCTGCCTGCTGCGATGGGAAGAGGTAGGAAACCAAAAAAAAAGCTGTAATAAAACTACTGCTCATTTATACCAGCATAATATTTTTGAGAATGAGGGGGGAAAAGCTTTGGAGGTGGGTTACCCTTTCTTCCATGTGTTGTTCAAGTGGGTTTGGGTTTGGTTTATCAAGGCTGAGTTCTCCAAAGCCTTTAGCTGTGGGAAGAGAAATGTATTCAGAGAAAAAGCTCTGCTGAAAAAAACACGGGGCTGCTTTGAAGGAAGCAGGGTTGTGAGGCTGTCAGCAGCCTTGTTACTGCTCCTGGCACACAACTGCTCCCTGTGATTCTTCACTGAAAAGCACATCTTCTGGAATTTTAGGTGGCATCTGCAGAAAATGCCCCGATGCACAGCGGATGAAGTGCCCAAAACTAATTATCTGCCACTCCGAGGGAAGTTTGCAGCAGTTCCATTTTGAGTGAGCAATTCCAATACTTGGGGATATTTTTAAAGCACTGGCACATTTGATAGAGGGAGGGGGGAAACCCAAGCACAGCTTGTCAATGGAATCTGTTGGTGCTGGCATTCAGTGGTGTAGATATTAACAGTGGGATAATACTTGTAATTCATTTAGCTTGAAAAACAAAAGCAGCCAGAGCGAGGCCAAGGTTTACAAAAAATGAGTCCCCAAAGATAAGTTCCTCACTTGATATTTATTTACTTAATAAGGACAATTGCGTTTTAAAAGTGTCAAGTACTCACCAGCTGCTATTATTACCAGCAGAACTGGTAGCAAAGGAAATAACTAAGCACGGTGCCATAATCATTAGGCTGGTTTTGTTCAAGGTAATCTGTGCCTGTGGTCAGGAGCAAGCCAAGTATTCAGTCTGTGGGTTCTGGCCCAAATGAGCCTGCTCTCTGATCTAAAATAACATAGTCAGAACTGTGTGTTACAGACAGGAGGAGAAAGAGGAGGCAGCTCGAGGGGTGCACGTTTCTCTGATGGATGGGGTGTTGTACCTGAGCTGTCCCCACCCCAGGGACAGCAGGGACAGCAAACACAAAAGCTGGGGAAGGTCACCTGGCAGGGCCACCTGGGCTCTGTGCCCTGCCAGCAGGGGTGGCACACGAGGTGGCACTGGGGCTCCCCTGAGCCTTTGGAGGAGGAGAAAGGAGACGGGGACAGATTGGACACCCATGGCCACAAGGGTGTGAGCTCAAAAGGCAGCCTTGCTGTGAGGGGCCTGAATTAGTTTCAGATGACATCATACACCATGAGTGATTATATTTAGAACGTGTGGTAATATGTTCTGAGACCTTCCATATGTTAATTATGCATGCTTCACTCTATGGCTACGGGAGGCTTGTGAAATCAAAGCAAAATTGCAGGTAGGGAAAACATTTTCTCTAGATGAACTTTAAACACAGTTCTGCAAAAAGGTTTTGCCTACCACAACCAAATTTATTTTTATTTTAAAGTTGGTTGTCTTTAATGCATGAAAGGCTTGCATTTTAAAGGCTTGCATCTTTAAGACTTAAATATACAGGCTTAGTTGATATTTTGGGACAAGAAAGTATTTGGTCCATATTTATCAAATATAGTGGTTTTGTTGAAAAGTAGAGAGCAAACATTTCTAATCTATTAAATTAAAAAATGTGTTTAAAGACTCAAAGACCTCTGTAGAGTTTGCTAGCCAGTGTTGAAAATATTGCCTCTGAAACATCACAGCAGCTTAGTAGATGTGGATGAGCTGTTAAAAAAAAATCACAAACAGCCCTTCCCCTCCCAAAAAACAAAAAAATACCTTTTGTAAACTTGCATTTTTGGTGTAAGCAGCTTCCTATCCTCCTGCCCATCCTTACGAGAATCTCAGCTGCATAACACCAAATACTTGAAATTATGAATGCTCATTGTGATAAACAACTTTGTGTAGATGATTAGCCTGGACCCTTGAACTTAGGCAAAGGGAAGATTAAGTTAATTAAAAGCACATTATTAACTTAGGCTGGGCTGGGACTGGGGTAGACTACCTCTAGGACTTTGCTTTAAAAACCTTTGTGAGTTTAATTCTCAGTAATGCATGGATTTCTGCTGAGCATCTATGGGACAAACTAATCTGTAAATCCTTTTTTGCTTTTGGCTTTAATAGCAAGTCACTGTCTTTTACAGAAGGTAAGGTGAAAAACTGTCTTTTCTGAAAAAACTGAACAGGTTTGACTGTGGACTAAATAATTTGGTTTGAAAACACTGCAGAAAGAAACAGTTGGAAGATGTAGATCAGTTTTCTTTTGTTCCCAGTCTGTCTGGACAGATTTCATAATAAAAATTGCAAAATCTTTGCCTAGTTAGATATGATCTGTTTGAGGAGCCCAGTTCAGACAGTGTGAAAAACAGTGAGGTCCTGCACTACAACATGTTATCAAAAGAGATTTCCAATTTGAGATGCAATGTGTATTTTTCTGTAGCAGGTCTACAGTTCTTTCTCTACTACTCCTCCCCAGCATTTATTGGAAAGCTGAAACTTCAGTTGAAAAAGTCTTTTAACAGAAAATATTTGACTGAACAACTAAAAACATTTTTTTGGAGAAAAACGGTTTCTACAAATCTGTTTAGAGCTGTGATTTAGTGCTGGTCACATGGCAAGGAGCCAGGGCTGAAAGATGTTTTGGGGAAGAATTTCTCTTTTTTGGCTCTTGGTTAAGCATCTCCTCTCCCCCAGATAATTTCTGTGTATGTGTGGGACTGAACTACTCCTCTGGCTGCAGACAAGAGAACAAATTCTCCTTGGAAGATTTTATTGAAGTTGTTTTTGTAGCAAAATCCAGTGTGGCAGTGCCCCACCATTCGTGTTTGACATGTGAACCTGCACCTTCACATTTCACCCAACACTGCCTTCTTTTCATCAAAGACTTTCAAATATCTGACAATATCTGACTTTCAAATATCTGACATTTATTTCACTGCCAGGGTGCAATGGCAGTGAAATAAATGTCAGTGAAATAAAATGGCAGTGAAATAAAAGCCCCATGGCAGCTCTTGCTGTCATTGGAAGAATTGGGACTGTTTGTTCTGAGATGGCTAATGAAGAAATGCAAAAAAGCAATTCCATCAATCTCACTTTTTTTTTTGAAGAAGGGAACTTTTTTTTTTTTTTTTTTTTTTCTTCCTACGGATAAGACACAGAACAAAACTTTTCCATAACTTTTCTGAACCAGATCACATAAATGCTGTGGAATGGGCTCTTGCCACACTGGTCAGGTAGGAGGGGTTTTTTGTTGACTGCCCCTCCAAGTCCTCTTTGGTGTGAAAGAGTGGGAAAGGCTGAATAAAAACATCAAGGGGGTGAGAAACCCAAAGAGAGAAATTCATGCTGGTGGTGGGGAAAGTGAAAAGGGCATTATAGGGGCAATGCACACAGTAAAGAGCAAAAACTTAGAATAAAATAGATGTGAGGGGTGTCTGGTCTTCAGTTAAGGCAGGTGGCTTTGCACCAGGTGCTGGTAATAAAATCTGCAAAACAAAAAGGAAGAATCAGTTGGGATAGTGCTGGAATAACCTCAGCTGGACACCAGCATTTGGGCTGTCAGACAGAGAGCAGCAGCTGGGAATTGTTATGTGAAACTCAGCTTCCCACATTAAAGAGAGAGTGTTGTGGAGTCCAACAAAAACCAAGGCAATTAATGATGGTTTAGGTTTAGTTTTGGTGGGGTATTGAAGGCCCAGAAAAAAGCCAGGCATAAAAATTAATTTTGAAAAATACCTTGGGACAAAATGATTAAGCATAGATGCAAGAGTTATCATAAAACACATTTCCCTTCATTTTATGACTGCATTGTTGTAGCGACTGGATGGATTACTTTCTTTAGCAATATCACATTTCTTCCCTGCCTGTTTTTGTCAGAGCTCTTCAAGAGTTTGCCCAGAACTCTGCTTCCCCAGGGGTGCAGTGTGACCTCTTGCTCTGGTTTGAACTCTCCAGGGGAGCTCAGGGCTGCACCTCTGTGTTCAGGTTTGCTGTCTGTGTGAAAATAAAGTGCTCAGAGTTGTAGAGTTTTGTGTCCTGCAACACTGCTGCAGCTCTGGTGTTTGAGATGCTGCAAGCTGATTCCTTGCCCTGGGCAAAATCTCTTGTTTCTCAGGAGACAGCTTGGGAAGGTTTGATGCTTTTGTTTTTTGACCTTGCTTTAACCATCTTACAAAAAGAAGGGATGCTTATGGGAGCAGTGTTTTATAGTTTTTTCCAGTCTGAATAAATAGAAATGCCAAGAGATGACACCTTGGGCATAGGTAGAAACCCAAAAACTCTTAAAAATGGATCTGTCTCCTGCTACAGGCCCATCCACTGCTTCTGTCTCTAATGATTTGCTTGTCCAGATCACATCTTTGAGCACCTCGTGTAATGCAATATATGATATATCTAACTTATAAAAATACAGTAGATACATACAAATGAAGTAATAGATATAATTTATACACAATATACATATCATGCTGGATAATGAACTGAAACAGACTCTTAAAAAAAAATCCCTCTCCTATTGTAGAAAGGAGCAAGATTCCCTTGGTGTCTGTGTGCAGTGGGGAACTCAATACCCAATTGCTAGTTCACTGCATGACATTTAAAATCAGTATAATGATACCAAAACCAGCAATCAATTATATATAACAGTGACCTTTTCTTTGCTTCAGAACTATTTTAAATATTCATGGCCAGGATCTTACTGGGAGGAAACTGCAGAGGATGGGGCTCTTCCTTTGTTGGTGTTTGCTCCACAGTGAGTTTCTCCAAAGAAGGAGAAAAAATTGGTGGAGAAAGCCACAAAACCTCCCTGCAATGCTTACCTGAGAGCACACTCACCTGAGAACAGGCTCACCTGAGAGGAGAAGAGAACCAGACAGTGCATTCCATCACCACCTGCCTGTTATCTGCAATGAGAACTGGGTATTTTCAGGAGGAGAAATGATAGCTGGGGGAGTCCAGTTCGATTTCCTTCCCCCTTGTGGTGCTGGGAAAGCTCACTGAGCTCTTTTACTTTTGGGTCACAAAACCAGATGGTCTGACTCACTGGTGGCACTCTGAAAAAATAACCAAAACTTGGTCTCTGCTTAGGGCCCCAAATGTAAATAACAGCACCGCCAAATGGTCTGACTCATTGGTGATGCTCTGAAAAATGACCAAAACTTGGTCTCTGCTTAGGGCCCCAAATGTGAATAACAGCACCAAGGTGTTCTGAGGATTTGGGAAGAAACTTGACTTGGCTGCAGGGACAATGGAGACAACAGAAGAAACAGCACATAATGGGTTCTGATTAAGATGGAAATCTTTATCAGATTATCTTTATCTGATAAAGATGGGAGAAGATCTATGGCAAAGCCCTCAGAGCTGCTGCAGTTGTGTTCTGCCTTTGGACTGAAGGGAAAACTCCTGCATTCACTGAACATCCTTGCACTCAAAGGTAAGGACTTTTCCTGGAAAAAGCCAGGTAATAAAAATCTCCCCCCAGACCCTGGCCCTAAAAAGTGACTGAGCTCTGATGCATTAAGGCACTGGATTAGCTGGGCAATGCTGTCTTCCTGTTTGTTTCCCAGTGGACAGAAATTAAAGTTATTAATTAAATTAAAGTTATTAAAGCAGTTAAATTAAACTGAATAATGCTAAAACACACTTTTAATGCCCCTCTAAGACCTGTTTGGATGGTTCTGGCTGGAGGAGCTGCTGTGTTGTCATTCTTGTGTGATCAGAGCCCTTTGTCTGCGTACCTCAAATTGTGTGTCTGATGCACACAGAGCAAATAGGATTGTCCCGTGGTAATGCTTGGTGTTATTTTGGGTTTGAAACTCCTGTTATTTGGGGTTTTAGAAAACTTGAAACTCTCCACTGTGGGCTGGCTTTGTATTGCTTGGTGTTCATGATCAGTTTCAAGAAGAGGTTTGGCTAAAGGAGACAGTGCATAACTTTGTGCAGAGTCACAGATGTGCACAGTTGGGCACAATCTGAGGCTTTCCCAAATGTGCTTTCATTCCTTTCTCCAGCTCATATGTCCAAATGCTTCTTGAGAGAACTCTAGCACCAAACATAAGAGAAAATATTTTCCCTTTTCAAGTTTGAATCTCTAAATGTTACTGTTCTCCCTGAGGTCAGCACAAGGTTTTTATTTCCCTGTTCTAAGCAGGATAGAAAATTGCCAGTATCCTTTTTTCCCCCCCCCTCCATCTTCACAGGATTTATCCATGTGCAATCACTGCTGATTGGATTCTCCCTTTTCAGGCACCCAGCTGTGCTGCCTGAATGCTCTCCCCATCCTGCTTGCCAATTTTAAATGCTTTACAGGGTCATGTTTTTATTCAAGCCAATCTGAATTGCACATCGCTTCAAATGTTCCACTTCAAAACAACAACAAATCCACACACAAAAAAAAAAAAAAAAAAAACCAAAAAAAACCACACCAAAAAATCCCCCAAAATCTAAATCCACCTTGTCCCCCAAGCCCCAGCCTCAGATGCTCTCAGTTTCTGGGATATCCCCCTGTGGAATGACAAGTCTGTCATGATCAGAGATGCAGCTGGACAGGGATCAAGGTTGGCCTCTCCTGAGAATTTCAGGTGTTGGGTTGCACTTTTTCTCCTGGAATATCTCCCCTTTTCTGCCATGGCAGAACTCTTTTTTTTTCAGTCTTCGCTTTTGGAAGCTTAAGATGCTTCATAGTAACAACTTTCTTCCAACCACCTTCTGCAGAAAATAAAAAAAAAAGTTTTGTCATAATATGAGTGAAGTTGCAGAATTCTTTGCCCATGTTGAGTGTTCCATTACTCTGCAGAGAAGCTTTTTCTGTATATACATTTTTTCTCCATTAAATTGAAAGCTGAGGTACTTTCATGAGCCAACCATTTATGAGCTTGGGGGAATCAAAGTGAATTTTGTGGCTCAAGAGGACACTCAAGGTTTGAGTGTCCTCAGGCTTTTGGCTACAAACCAAAGAAACTGCTGCAGTCTTAATTTTAATTGCTGTGGCTCAAGTTGCCACATCTCTCTCTGGGAAGATTTTCTTCAACGTTTTTCTCCCCTTACTGTGTTTGAGTGACAGCATGATGTGCTCTGATTAGGCTATCAACACTGCGGGATAATAAAGGTATTTTTGCATGAGCTGTCATGGCTGGGTTGGTTTTCCCTTTTGTCTGAAGGCATGTGACATTTTTGTCAAAATCCACTCTTAAACAGCCTCTGTTAAGAAGGCTTTAGGGCTCATCAAGTACTAAAACTGAGCTTTGAATAATAACATATGTAAACTTCAATTCCAAGACCTGCTGGAAAGTTGACAAAAAGTTGTCATGGAAACCACAAACACCTAGATATGGCTGAAAAAAAGAAGCTTTCATTCAGAGACCACAATTATTTGCAAGAGAATCTGTAGGTTTCTGAAACATTTTTTCTACTCGTGATGGTAAGGCTGCTTTTAATTTTCATAAATGTATGTGTGGATTCACAAGCATACACAGATGAGGAATGTTGTGCTTTGTGCTGGATGAATTAAAAAAATTCTGGAACATGAAATTGCTGAGAATCAATGAGAGATTAAAGGGAGGATTTTGTTGGCCTCTTGTATTTGATTATAGCTTATCAATTTTTGATAAAATGTGTTTAATTCTTGTTAAACTGAGCACAAGAGAGAAAAATGTGCATATGAAATAAATTTATGGGCAAGATATGGAAGGGAGAGAAAGTACCTGACAAGCCTGGCTAATCAGGAAATAAAATGGCAGCAGAAATTAAGAAGAAAGGAAGGCTGAGTTTACAGTCTGTATTTTAGATACTCTTTTGAGTTTGTCTTGCTGAAGTAACTCAGCAGTTAATTTGCATTCCTAGTAAATGCGTGGTGCATATCTAAATATGGCTTTATGCAAGAATTTTTGTAAAATTCAGATTTTTCAGTTATCTGAAGACTGTGCTGGACAATGATAGTTCTGTGTCATTTAGGTAGACTTTTACAAATGTCACTGTTTGTGTCTTTACAGAGCTCTTTGTGATGCCTTGACCTGGATCAGAGGCTGGATGGAGTTCCAGAATAAAGCAGGGATTGATTCCAAGGATCTATTTAAATGTTACAATATTTTTTGGGGCACACCAAACTGATATTTCTGCACAGAAGAGTCACACTGAGTTCTCAAAGACCTATTTCTGCCACTGCCCAGCGCAGAGTTTTTAAATGATGCTGTGCTACTTTTCTCACTGATACTGAGCATTTCCAGTGGGGCATTGTTTACTGTTCCATGCTTGCTCTTGGCTAGGGATCGTGATGTAACAGCCTTACATCTCAATTAACCAGAATTCACAATGCAGAGTTTAGGCTGACACTCTGCTTTCATGTCAGTGCTGTGTGACTCAGTAAAAATCCCAGTCCAACAGCGAAAAATCTTAATTGGCAAGATGATCACTCTTGGTTTAGCATGACAGGCCCTGGAGACAGGGCTAATGAATAAAGATGCAGACCCCTAGGTACATGGTGAGAGCTGCTGTTGACTCATCTTCGTGCTTATCTAGAAAAGCAGGGTTTATTCTGCATCTGAGTTTCCCAATGAAACTTCAGACAGAGTAAGAACGACATAACTGGGCCAGACCCACCCAGGGCTGTGTTTTCTGAGAGAGACAGCAGTGGCAATAAAAGGCAGCAGAGAAGAACCAGGCAGAGTCACAGCTCCTGAGTCAAAGGTGGTGCCTTGGGGGTGGAAAACCTCGTGTCCCAGCTTGGGCAGCAGCTCTCTGCCCATCCACCCCACCCTGCAAAGTGCTGCAGTGCTGGTGCCTCCACCTGGGCACCAGTCAAACCCTCACCCCAAGGAGTCAAATGCAATTCCCTGTGCTTATGAAACCTGCATCGTGGTTTTTCCTTGAAATGCTAAGGGTTGCATTAAGCCTGTGGTAGAAATCCCTCTTACAAAAGGCGACTTGACTGCTCTGCCTTGTTCTGTTGGTGCTGGATAAAACAAATAAAATTCAGCAAGCATTTCAAGCAGATAGTCCACACTATTCTTTTCACATGAATGACTGCACACTCATGTCTATTTAGCTGTTCATTGCCTTGCCCTTTGGTGCAATTGCTAACTGGAAACTAATTCATTGCTATTTTTATTAAAGCAAGTGGTGCTGCAATGACCAGCAACAGACTAAATCCACGGTGGAAGAGAATTACAGCTGGAGCCAGTGGGGTTTAGGAGATCAACATAACATTTTTGGTGGAAGAGAATGGTAGTTTAATAAAATATGAAGCAGGATTAATGCTGTAGGTGACCTTAAAATACTGACTAGCAAAGAGTAGAGTGGCAATTGCACATACATGTGCAGCTGTAATGTGCTTGTGTTTAAAAGAGATGATCAAAATTCTATAAAAGTCCCTAAATATGGATTGCCTGTGTTAATATGGTTTAAGGTGAATGTCAGCATACCCCAGAAGCAAAGAAAATGAAGTTATTTCTCTCATTCTGTGACAATGAAATGAAATGGTTTTGAAAATTGAAATTTGTGATAGCAAATGTCACAGTGTGTGACTATGGTGCTGTAATTTGGAAACTCTCAGCCATGGACTGGGGAATGCACTTTGCCTCCAGCAGATTTTTCCACACCTGTAGAGGAAATAAATAACATTTTTCTCCAAGACCTCGCTCGTTAACTTTATAAATTCTCATTTTTTGACAAATAAACTCCAGCAATCACTTCTCACGTGTCTTGGTCCAACTGAGATGTGTAACATGTCCTTGTGTGCCTTTTGTACTAATCTTTGCAATTAATTCACAGCAACACTGAGCAAAACTAATGAGGTAATGCTGAGATGTGCTTGCATCACCCAGTGTCAACAGCACGGCATTGTAAGAATGGTTTGAGACTGAATTGCCACTCACCTTTTCTTGCTCTTGAGCCCTAGGCTATGTCCACTGAAATCTCATTTTCATGAGTCTTGATAAATTAAAAAAAAAACCACCCCAATTTAATGTATTTTTAATAGCATGTTGGCGTATTTTATGATGGTGTTTGTTTAGTTTTGTTAGAAATAAATAAAATTTTATTACACGTTTTAGCACCAGTGGTACCTAGACTTGTGCTGTCAGATATTTTATAATAGCTATGTTTTAGTCCTGTAAATGCTTTTATTTCTTGTAGGCACATCAAGTAATCATATGCCCACAGGAATTAGGGCTTTGTTGTGCTTTAATCCCAAAATGTTTCCCCTAAGTACAGGTTTTTTGGTGCTAAACTTGCAGTGCAAGGACAGAAGCCTTTGGTGCTCATTTTGAACGCAGGCTGGGACCTGGTAAGACTTGTCTTAACTTCTGTGAGAGATTTTTGACCATCCTTCCAGAAAACTCAGCATCCTGCACAGCTGAACTTTGCCCCTACATGAAGAAAATATAAATTTTTTAAAATAAAGAAACAAATAGTAAATATCTATTTTCTTTATAAAGAAATAAATAGTAAATATCTATTTTCTTTGTAAAGAAATGAATAATAAATATTCATTTCCTTTATCTCTTGATGAAGAGACTGGAGGTTAAAGAGCTGCTGCAGCAGGGCACTGAAGGACTTGTTCAAGTTTCAGCTGACTTAAAATGATTTTGAAATCTGAAGATTAAACCAGTGGAGTGAGTAGCAGACTCCCACTGACTTCAGCGAGCCGGATTTAATCTAATTTCTAATTAAAAGGTCCTGTTCTTCAGCAAAAGCATTAGAAAGATAAATGTTCAGTAATTGCTTTGAATATTTCCAGTGAAATCTATTTGCTTAGGATGACACATTTCACTGCAATAATACTTTTGTGGTTTCAAACTGCAAGAGATGAATATGAAGGTGAGGTAGTACATTTGTGGACTTTTCTCTCAAGGTAATGATTTTGGAGTCCCGTGTTGGGGTGGATAATTTCCTTCGTTGGTTCACTTTCCTGTCTCAGACTGTTGAAATCAAAGGTGGCAAAAGGTATTTAAAATACTGCTGCAAAATCAGCTCTTAAGCTAACATTTTAGTCTTTTATATTCAGGCCTAAATATAATTATTTAGAAGATAAAAGCCTGGGGAAGAAAGATCTGTCTCTTGTGAACCATTTTGCCACTATTCCTTTTGATCTAATTGGCCTATAGCAAAACTATATTTTCCATTAAGAGGAAGAAAAAGGACTTTATTTTTCTGCTTCAGGGAGGAAAAAAAAATTATTTGGCAGCCTCTGTTGAAATAAATAGTTGTATTTACTTTGCAGTTGTATTTCTACTTTTGCACTAGAAAATTATTTTATGTTTGCAAAATTAGTCCTAAAGATTTAAACAGGTTTTCTGAACAGGATGAATTGTGTGTTTTAAATAGAAAACTAGAATAAAAAAACCCAAAACTAGAAGTTGCCTGAACAAGCCCCACTGCTACAAAAGGAAGATCACATTGTCACTGAGATGTGGGTCACAGGAGGATATGCTTCATATGTTTAATTGAATCTTTTTATGAATGGCACACTTTCATGCATTTCTTATTAAAGGAAACGTAGTGTTTTCATTTATTAGGAGCTCGGAGCAAGGTTGTATTAAGGAGATTAAAGGGTGTGATTTATTCACCACCAGCTGCCAGTGCTTCCGAGCTGTGAGATGATACCTTATGGGAGGGATTTCTGAGGGCAGGAGAGCTGGGCTTCATCTCCTGTCCTGAGGGAACATCTCCTTCAAGGACACGCTCTCCTGCTCCGCAGACATCTCCACCCAAAGGCCATTGGGGTGGGAGTGCCTTTTGAGCCCTCTCTCGGGTAAAATAGCACTTGGAGGGGGGTTTCTCCTTTTCCTTTTTACACATAGTACAGCCCATAGACGTGGATGTAGTAATTACACATCCTCTGAACAGAGAGAGACATGGTTCTCCCAGGGAAATCCTGGGAAGCTGTGTAAAAACTGTAGGAAACTCAAAAGAAATGACTTCAAGCAATTATGATCTCTCTTTCCGTAACCATTGTTTATAGATATAGTTCTCCAGAGTGTGCTATTCACAGTTCACCAATGGTGAGAGAGAAGATTCCTAAAAACCAATCAGGTGTTAGGTTCACCAGGTGTTTGGTTTTAAGATCTCATCTTTGCTGCTTTCTTATTTTATCCCTCTCCACTAGGTCCTCAGCTTGGTGTCATTTTTATAATGGAATAATCTCTTCTGTGTCTTGCAGGGGAAGCACAATCTCTGCTGTCTCTGCTAGCCAGGTCTCCAGCAGGAAGAGGGAAGAACATTTCCGGAGGCTCTGGAGCAGATTCATTGCTTCTGGAGTATTTTCTTCTCCCCAGACATCATTCAAGGCAAGCATTTTTCCCTCTCCAAGCCCTTTTCATTACCCAGGACTCCCTTTCAGTACTAGATTCAAATTATTAAGTGTTTTTGCAACTCTCCAAGTGTTACAGGAGAAGAGAGAATTCTTTGCCAGCTATAAATCTGGGATGTGGACACACAGGATGGGAATAGCCCATCACATCTGCTAATTAGTAGGTGATTACTTTAACGTGGAAGGAAAACATACTACAAAAACTTCTTTGCACTCCACTTGTTCTCACCATGCACTAACCCTGACCTAAGTTATTTCCATTTAATTTTTTTTCCTTTTTGCTCTGAGATTTTAGGAGGGTTTTATCCTAGGGTTGCTAAGTCTGCTTTGTTGTTTTTCCATATCCTATTTCAAAATGTGACCTGTCACAGGATTCAGTTCATCAGTTAACCATTAAAAAACAGGCTTCTCTCCAATCATAAATGCATAATTTCTCTAGATGAGGTTTATTCTGACCTCTCTTACAGGAGAATTGTTTATGCAAGCTTCTCTAGCCTTCATACAGAATTCAGATTGCCTGCAAAGCTTGAATTAACACAGTAGAAACCTTTTTCACTTGACAAGTGAATTTTTTTGAAGTTCAGGGTTACTCCTCAGCTACACCTGCAGAAGGCTGAATGATTTTGGTGTTCCATGTCCTGCTTTCTCATCACATCTTCTTCAAACCTCAAGCAGCACTGGGTCTCAGCCTGCCAGGGAGGATTTGGGCAGGCTGGTCATCAGGTCACTGATGAAAATCCAGAACTGCTGAGCCATGAGCAG